CACAATGCCCAGCTATTTTTTGGTTGCAGCCATCATTGTTGTTTGGCGGGCCTGGGCTGGGGATTCGAACCCGCCACCTTAGGTGTATGTGACTGGCGCCTTAGCAGCTTGAGCCACAGGCACTGAGCCATCTTATGAGACTTTTGAAATGAGTAGTGTTAAATTTTATCAAATGGTGTTTGTGTATTTATTGTAAATGATTTTTCTTCTTTTTCAGTAATATGATACAGAAGTACATAATTACAAAATCGTACTGATCTATTTTCTAAAGTTAATATAACTTTGCATTGTTGATATAAATCCCACTTGGTCAGGATGTATTTTTCATTTTCATATATTCCTGGTTTCAATTTCTTAATTTTTTTTTTTTTTTAGAGACAGAGTCTCACTTTGTCACCCTGGGTAGAGTGCGATGGCATCATAGCTCACAGCAACCTCCAGCTTTTTGGCTTACATGATTCTCTGGCCTCAGCCTCCTAGAAGCTGTGACTACAGATGTCTGGCCATAATGCCTTCCTATTTTTTTGTTGTTGTTGTTGCAGTTTGACTGGGGCCAGGTTTGAACCCTCCACCCTTGGTATAGGGAGCCAGCACCCTACTCACTGAGCCACAGGCACCGGTCCAATTTCTTAATATTGTTGTTAAAGATTTTTTGTCTATAGTTATAAGTAATGTTATTCTGTAATTTTTCTTTTCTTCACTTTTGTCAGGCATTTGTATCAGGGTAACCTTGAACTCATAAAACAAGTCAAAACCATTCCCTGTATTTTCTCGGGATTTTCTTTTTCTTTCTCTCTTTTTTGGAGACAGAGTCTCTCTGTGTCGCTGTGGTGTCACAGCTCACAGCAACCTTAAACTCTTGGGTTTCGGTGATTCTCTTGCTTCAGCTTCCCAAGTAGCTGGGACTACAGGCGCCTGCCACAATGCCCAGGTATGTTTTTTTGTTGTTGTTGCAGTTGTCATTGTTGTTTAGCTGGCCCGGGTGGGGGTTGAACCTGCTACCCTCTGTGCATGTGGCTGGCGCCGTAGCCAGTGTGCTATGGGCGCCAAGCCTATTTTCTGGCATTTGTATGAGATTGATGTTATTTTTCCTTAACATATGATAGAATTCACTGAAACTATCTGAGCCTGCTTGTTTATATCTAGGAAGGTTGTTAATAAATTGCCCATTTACTGGGTACACTATACTGATATTCACATGTTCTTTTTCTATTTTGTATCAGATTTGGTAAATTATAAATTTTCATGTTATCTAAGTTGTCACATTATTTGGCATAAAAGTGGCTCGGCACCCATAGCTCAGTGGTTAGGGCGCCAGCCACATGCACTTGAGCTGGAGGGTTTGAACCAGCCTGGGCCTGCTGAACAACAATGACAACTACAACAACAACAAAAAAATAGCTGGGCGTTGTGATGGGGGCCTGTATTCCCAGCTACTTGGGAGGTTGAGGCAAGAGAATAGAGGATGTCCAAGAGTTTGAGGTTGCTGTGAGCTGTAATGCCATGGCACTCTACCCAGGGCAACATAGTAAGATGCTGTCTCAAAAAAAAAAAAAAAAAGAAAGAAAGAAAGAAAGAAAATAATTGATATAAAAGTTTTCCTTACATTTTTTATTAAAATTTTAATGTCTAAGGTGTGTTATGTATGATATTATCACTTTATTCCTGACACTCAAGGTTTTGTTCTCTTCTCTTATTCTTAATCAGTGTATGAAGTGGACTGAATGTTTGTGCTTCCTCTCTCTCACAAATCCACATGCTGAAACCCTAATCCCAACTATATGGTGCATGGAGGTGGGGCTTTGGGGAGATGGTAGATCCTGAAGGTGCAGCCCTCCTGAATGAAATTAGTGCCCTTACAGTAAGAGGCTAGAGAGCTGGTTAGCTATCTTCCTCATATGATGATGCAAACAGAAGTCAGCAGGCTGAAACCTGGAAGAAGTCCCTCACCACTCTGGAATTTAGCCATGCTGTCACCCTGATCTCAGACTTCCAGTTTTTGTAACTGTAAGAAATAATTTTTTTTTTTTTGACCTAGAGTCTCAAACCATTTTGTAAAATGGTTTTTGTAGGTTTTTTTTTTTTTTTTTTTTTGAGACAGAGTCTCATCCTGTCGCCTTTGGTAGAGTGCTCTGGCGTCACAGTTCGCAGCAACCTTAAACTCTTAGGCTTAGGTGATTCTCTTGCCTCAGCCTCCTGAGTAGCTGGGAATACAGGCACCTGCCACAACGCCCAGCTGTTTTTTGGTTGCAGTTGTCATTGTCATTTGGCAGGCCTGGGCTGGGCTCCAACCCACCAGCCTCAATGTATGTGGCTGGCGCCCTAACCGCTGAGCTATGGGCACAGAGCCAGAAATCCAAATTTCTACTGCCCTTCTTTTCTGCCTAACAGTAATATTCCCTTTCTCCATTTTTTTTGAGACAAAGTCTCACTTGTCACCCTCCGTAGACACATAGCTCACAGCAACCTCAAACTCTTGGGCTCAGGCGATTCTCTTACCTCAGCCTCCCAAGCAGCTGGGACTACAGGTGCCCACCACGACGCCCGCCTATTTTTTGTTGCAGCGGTCATTGTTGTTTAGCTGGCCCAGGCCGGGTTCAAACCCACCAGCCTCGGTGTATGTGGATGGCGCCGTAACCACTTTTACCCAGGTTCAACAATTAAAATATGAAAATGAAAGCATTTGAAAAGCTAAACACGAGCTGTATTAATTTATTAAAGATCCTCTATTCTGGTTAACGCTCCCTGGCACTTTTACTGCTGAGTTTGTCACGATGAGCTGCTCACTGCATCCTCAGTGCTAGTACTTAACAAGCGCTTAATAATTGCTGCCTGGCTTGGCCATTTCTCAGGAGAGGAAATTAAAACTAAAAAGGGGTACTGATAACATTGAGCCGTGTAAGGGAATTGCCCATCATTTCAAAATTTAAAATGTTATTTCCAGGAAAAAAATTGTAGTTTGCCTGTTCTCGAATTCGATCCCTAACTCTGCCAGGTCCTGGATGAAAAAGGCAGGATTTCTCCGAGTGCGTTTTTCATTTCTGTACTCCCAGACCCTATTCCTGGGTCAGGCGCATGGCAGGTGTTTAAAACGCACCTAAAGAATTCTGATTTGCGCGGGACAAGCAATGTAGGGCACGATCAAGCATTCAAAACTAAACAAAAACAAAAAAATTCGTTTAGAACCAACTCTCCCACTATGTTTAGAAATCACAACTGACAAACACACGCCAGGAAAGTGGGATCCCTAAAGTGCTTAGACAGAGTGAAAAGGTGTTGGCTGTTGTCTCATGCAAACTAAGAGAAGCAGACCCCACACGACACATTCGCGGACAAAGAGCCTAAGAAGCGAAGGAACACAGTGAGCTAGTAGGAAGCGCAGCCTAATTGGGTCAACTGGAAATCACCACCGGGTGGGGAAAGGGTTAAAGTAGCTTTCCCCGGGCGCCAGAACGCGTGGGCTCTAAGACCACGCTGACACCTGCATTTGGCTCCTCTCGCGCTTCGTAGGAAGAACTTTCTGGGCTTCCGCAGGCCACGCCCCGGGCCAAGGAGGAGGACGCTAGGCTGCCCTCGGGATGCCTGCTGCGGCGGAGCACGGGCGCGCTCGTAATACTCTGGTCTCAGAGCGGCCGCAATCCGGAAAGAGAAACTGCCAGGCCCGGCACCGCGAGAGCCGCCTCTTCCGCGGGAGCGAGTGCACATGCGCGCAGGGGGCCTGAGCGCCCTTAAATACCGTCATGCGGGCGCGTGAGACCTCTTTCCCTGCCGCCGCCGGATAGCGCGGAGGCGGAGGCTTAGGGTGAGGAGAGGCCACGGGGTACTTGCTGGGGCTTGTGGCTCTGCTGGGATGGATGGGTGTCAAGTCAAGGCTGAGTTCCTTAATAAATTTGTGGGGTTTTTTGCTCTTTGTTTTCAGTGAGGTCAAGATTCGACTTCACCCGTAACCCACCGCCATGGCCGAGGAAGGGTGAGCCCAAGGGCTGGGGTCGGGCTGCCAGTGAGGTGCGGCCGCGAGCCTGCGGCGCGGGGCTGGGTGGGCCGGGTCGCCGGGAGCGCGCCTGTTGTAGGTTACGCCTCTGCAGTCTACGGCATTCAGTGGTGCGAAGGTTTTAACTGAGGGTTCTGATTTGGCGCGTTTCAGCATTGCTGCTGGAGGTGTAATGGACGTGAACACCGCTTTACAAGAGGTGCTGAAGACCGCCCTCATCCACGATGGCCTTGCACGTGGAATCCGCGAAGCTGCCAAAGCCTTAGACAAGTACGTGTATCAGTCTCAATACTGTGGGTTGTTGCAACCGGAACAAAACTGCAGCCCAGGGAAGAAAGCGTGAAGTTCATGATGTTAGCCCAAAAGTTGAGAGTGACATCCGTATCCGTCCTACAGGAAACCTAGGAAAAGGTATCAGAACTTGGATCTATATAGCCCACTTAAAACGTGTGCGTTGCTGTTTAGAGTGGGGATAAAAACTTGTTTTTAGTCAAAGGAAAACTACAGTGTTTGAATGATGACTTCAGTTGTCGGATACCCCTTCACTCCTTCTATGAGTGAAACATAACAGTCTGACAAACCTGTAGGTTATGGGGTTAGCAGTTTTCTGGAGGCTAATTGCATACCCTTGTTACATTAAACAGTTTGCGAAATATTTGGCTAAATTAAGGTCGAGTTGTGCTAAGGTTTATTGCAGAAGCACTTGGATGTAGATGAATTTAGTAGCTGTGGGAATTTGAGTCGGGAATTGTCATTATATTGGCAGAACAGCTTGATATAGAGAGCTGGGTTCAAGTGCCCTTTAAGGGTCTCCACTGCTTGCTTTGGTGTAATCTAGCCAGGTGAATCCATCCACTATGTGATACAGTGCATGCTGCAGTGCAGTGGGCCCTGGTGTGAATCTTGTGTAGTATTGGCAGGTCGGTGTTGCTGCACGGTATTTATTCAGTGGTTGGGCCAGTAACATTACAATTATTTGGTAGTTGACATCGTACATCTCTTTGAATTTATGAGACTAGTTTACCAGAAAGTTACCGTTTTGACCACAAGTTTTTCAGTTACTTCCCCTACACAAATCTGTAATTTTGGATCAAGAAATTCTAAATGAAATTTGCTTAGTATTTCTTTTAAGTGAATAAGATGGCTGGTAAGAGTCATCAGATTTGAGCACTTGTGTGCACATATATGGGGTATTTTTCAGTAAAGTGCAAGAGTGGTGGGTTTAGGTCTGGATTTTAACTTGGTTGTTGTGTTTTGAATTTCAGGCGCCAAGCCCATCTTTGTGTGCTTGCATCCAACTGTGATGAGCCTATGTATGTCAAGTTGGTGGAGGCCCTTTGTGCTGAACACCAAATCAACCTAATTAAGGTAAGCTTCTCACCTAATTTGATATGTCTGGTCTGTTAGTACATCCTTTAGGTTAGGAGAATTGGACTAGTTAAGGGTCATGTGTTAGGACTGATGCTGTCCATAGTGATATTTCTCATACTAGTCTAAAGTTTTGGCAATTCTCAGTCTTGCTTTCTGCAACTGTAAACATCACCGTGGACTTGCCATAGTGGCTGTGTTAAGGCTATTAGTAAAAGCATTCTGTACCTGTAGAACTAAAATGCTAATTTTGATGTTGATATAGAACAAAAAGTAAGGTAAAGTGCTTATAGATGATTTTTTGTGCTGTACATGATGACAACTGGCTCCCTCTACTGAATTGTCATGAGGAAACTGCCATGTCACCCTTCTGATGACAGCCAGCTTTTGGGTTTGATTTACTGTCAGTAGCATTAGTGCCTACTAATGTGATTTTTTTTTTTTTGTTTTTTATTCCCCTGATAGGTTGATGACAACAAGAAACTAGGGGAATGGGTAGGCCTTTGTAAAATTGACAGAGAGGGGAAACCCCGGAAAGTGGTTGGCTGCAGTTGTGTAGTAGTCAAGGTAAGTTCCTTGGTTTTTAGGATGAAGGTTATGCTGGGTAACTGCACAAACCTGTATTGAGATAAGTTTGAGAACTTTTTAAAGGAAAAAACAAGATTCTAAAAAGATTTAAAAATATTTTCTGTATTTCAAAAAAAAAAAATTTGATGATAGTGGTACAGAAGCCAGCCAAATAATCTGCTTACCTGAATGTGTTTCTGCAGAAAGTTTTTAAAATCTGGCAATAGTAAAGCCATGTTACGAGCCTTACGGACATCCAAGTCGTTAAGGTCCCTGAAAATGGCTATAACAAATTTTAGTGATTTGATGCATTTTCAAAAGGCATAGTTCATTATTAAAGCTTCTTGTGAGTAATGCTATGAACTTAGTGGAATTTCTAAGTGTTAATAAGCAATTGCATGTAATTTTTTTTTAAAGGATTATGGCAAAGAATCTCAGGCCAAGGATGTCATCGAAGAGTACTTCAAATGCAAGAAATGAATAAATAAAACTTTGGTTCATGTTCCTCCTCTCTGACTTTTTATTTGGGGTAGTAATGTAAGGTCCCAGTTAGTGAAGGGAAAGGTCATTGAGGAAACTGATCACTATAAATGAGATAGAGACATTCTGTAAAACAGCTCCCTATTTTTGACCTTTTTTGATTATAAATCAAAGTGTCTACTAACGAATTAATGACAGTGTTGGGACAATTAAAACATGGACAGCCTAAGCAAAGATGGGCCTCTAGGGATGTACTGGTATGTACATGAGTATGGTCATTTGTCACCGAGTAGGCCAACCTAGAACCTGGAGAAAGGCTGAAGTTAGCAAAGTGGATGTTAGTAGATTGCAATCGTGTGGCGGGACAGTGAGCAGCGAAGTTGGAGAGTGTAAAGGTGGGAGGATAAGATTTAGGCTGGTATACTTAAAAGTGCATGATACCCAGGAATGCTTATGAATCTGCCTATAGAGAAGGTCATAGCAGCCATTGCTGTCTCAGACATGAGTTCTATGCACAGAAGAGATGTTTTAGTTCATCCTAGGCCTTAGGAACCTCAGCAGGGAGAAATGTATACTCAAGTATGTCCGGCTTCTGTACGGTCAATGTTTTGGAGGCTGTGTACTTGGATCTTGTGTTCCTGTTTTTTTCCACATCTTTGGTATTTAAAGTTGGAGGCTTTCATACATAATCTGCCACAAAGTAGGGTCTTCTGTACAGGGTAGCTTTGTGCTTTAAGCACTGCAGTCGTCTTCACCTAAAAGCTGATTGTCCTCAGTAAACCAAGGATTCACTATAGTGGATTGAGTGACCAGTGATAGAAAAGATGAAGCTCTAGAGCTAATACAGAGTGAGTATACCCTTTAGAAGCTGTGACTTGTTACTAACATTTAATATGTTGGGTTATATTTGGTTTTTCTAAGGAAATTTAATTCTCTTGTGGTTTGACCATCTACTCAAACCATTTTGCCTAGTCATCTGGTACAGTACAAAGGAAAACAGGTTAAGTATCATTTTTAATCAGTTATAGAAAATTCTGCCTTAATTCAGGTTAGGGAAATTATTTGAAGAACACTGAAAAATTTATAAATGTCTATTTTGATAGCTTTTCAGTGTTTTTTTCCTTTTTGAGGTTATTAGGGAAATGTTGCAGTGTGTGGTGTTTGCCTGTTCTGTGACTCGTACCTTCCCACCTGCTCTTGGAATTATGTCAGCTTGCTTTTTTTTTTTTCATGTTTTGATGTTTCCATATCCATTGTAACCTTAGCTACAAAAAGACGGCAGCTTGCTTTGTTGCCTGGTTGGAGTGGAGTGGTGATCTCTTGGCTCACTGCGGCCTTGAACTGAACTCAAGTGATTTTCCTGCTTAAAATCCATCTTCCTGCGTAAAATTGCCAAGTGTAGCTAATGTTATGTTTCGTTTTGTTTTGTTTTGTTTTTGGTGGACACCAGTTTGCCCAGGAGAGTGACATCTAGCATCTAGCTTCAAGGCATCTATCTCACTGCCTTAGCTTTCTAAAGTGCTGGGATTACATGTGTGAGCCGCCCTGCCAGGCTTTTTTCTATAGAAAAAGTAAGCACTTTTACCTTCTCACTTTAGCCTTTGCCCCATTCTCAATCCTGCCTCTCCTGCCCAACCTTGCAATTATAATAGTTGCCAGAGATCCCGCTTGGATTGGTTTATTTCTCTGCAGCGTTCTGGGACGTTTTCCTACTCTAACAGCCTGTGATTCCCAAACTGACTTTTTTTTCTTTTTTCTTTCTTTTTTTTTTTTTGAGATAAGAGTCTTACCCTAATCACAGAGCTACAGGTGCTAAGCCTGACTTTATTTTCTTAATTTTGGTCAACTCGACTTAACTATGGCATGTGCTAGGTACTGCATCTCTGGGTACTTGCACCTCAAGTTTTGTGTGCCTTGAAGTGAACTTTATTGTAACACAGTTGAGAAGAGGGTTACTGAGGTCGGCACCTGTAGCTCAGTAGGTAGGGCACCAGCAACATAACACTGAAGATGGCAGGTTGGAACCTGACCTGGGCCAGTTAAAACAATAACGACAACTGCGGGAAAAAAAAAGCGTCATATCAGGTTCCTGTAGTCCCAGCTACTTGGGAGGCTGAGGCAAGAGAATAGTTTAAGCCCAAGAGTTTGAGGTTGCTGTGACCTGTGATGCCAGGCCAATCTATTCAGGGTGACAGCTTGAGACTATCTCAAAAAAAAGGGTTACTGAGAAATTGGTATGCACTGAGTTCTGCACCATTTACATCTCTTACAATTTGTTACTACCTAAAAATTTCTTCAGCCGTAGTCCACATACTTTTCAACTCCTTTTCAGCCATCATAGAGGTTCATCCAGATGATTTTCATGCTGTAATTCTGAAATTTAGTTAAAAAGTGAACATGCCCTTGTCTTCATCACTATCCATTCCTCTTCTGTCTGAAGTACCTTTTCTCCATCTGGATGTCTTCTTATCCTTCAAAACTCAGCTCAAATACAATTTAAGTTTCATGACACGCCTGTGTAGTTTATATGGGATTTAGGAGGGACCCCATCAAAGCTAATGTGCCATGGCAGAAGCAGATGTCATCATTTTTAATTGGGGAAAATAGTTCTGTGAAACTAGTTAACGTGCTCAGAACCTTGAAGACGTTGCTCATCCATCCCAAACGAGATGTCTGAGCCAAGCACTGGGGTTTTCTTGCTCCCATAGACAAGAGACCAGTGAGTCCTTGCTTGCTTTGGCTATAATAAGCCAAATGTTCTATTTTCTTTCTGTCCTACCTTTTATTTTTACCTGCTCCTGATTTTACGAAAGTATAGTCTATGTATTTCTGATAAGCCACTTTAAATGCTTTAGAAAAATGCATCTGAGGACATTCACAGAAATTGTGCAAAGGCTGTGTTGTGTTACGCTGCTATTAAGAATTTAATAGCATTTGGCCATTGTTGAGGCAATGGAAACATATAGATGGCAGAGTTACAAACCCTAGGAAAGTGTGGGAGCATCTATTGTTCTTAATGAGAACTAATCTAGCCCTGAAGTGGAGCTTGTGTCTTTCTAGTTGAATGTACTTTTAGACTGGTAGGCTCAAGAAATACATTAGCACAAGTGCTCCTGAGAGCCATGGAGGGGGGAGAATATCTAGTCAAAGAAAGGAAATGAGGTCGCGGTTTTCACCATTCCAGGTGGAGGCGGAGTGGGCCAGGACGTTGTCTTCCCAGGCTGGCTTTTTCAGAAAGCTCAATCCACATGCCTAAAGAACACAACTTGTGGCAGCAAGCTCCAGCAAGAGTAATTGAAGCAGCTTGGCTGGGCTAGACAGGTACCCAGGAGAGAGGTCGCCAGGCTCTCCTGTCCTCTACAGAACTTACTGGGTAAAGGTTCTCAGTGCTGGGGGTGGAAGAGTCACTGAGGTCAAAGTTGAAGGTGAATGTTACAGATAGAGGTCAGGTATGCAGGGTTTGGGGAACATAGTATCGACACATGAGCATATTCAGAGGGACTGGGAACAAGGTTCCTCAGGCAAAAATGTGTCATGAGTCCTTTTTAAAAAACATGGTACTGGCTTGGCACTGTAGCACAGTGGTTAAGGCACCAGCTGCATACACCAAGGGTGGTGGGTTTGAACCTGGCCCCGCCAGCTAAACAACAATGACAACTGCAACAAGAAATAGCTGGGCGTTGTGGTGGGCACCTGTAGTTCCAGCTACTTGGAAGGCTGAGGCAAGAGAATCGCTTAAGCCCAGGAGTTTGAGGTTGCTGTGAGCTGTGACACCACAACACTCTACGCAGGGCAACATAGTGAGACTCTGTCTCAAAACAAACAAACAAACGTGGTACTATCACATGAAAATTGAAATAGCTCTTCACAAGCCAGTTGTTTCAACCAGCTTATTTTTCATAATCTTTGCTGATAAGATTTGTGTAACAATCTGGCATTTGCTTGAAAGGAACAAGGGTAGACCTTCCCTTCAAGGATTCTTCACCATTATGGTTGGGTGGTTTTCTACTCTCCCCTACTTTTCATGAAATATCCCTTAGTATTTTTCTCTCTTTTTCTTTTTCTTGCAGTTTTTTTTGGCTGGGGCCAGGTTTGAACCCACGACCTCCAGTATATGGGGCCGGCGCCTTACTCCTTGAGCCACAGGGGCGGCCTTCTCTCTCTCTCCCTCTCTCTTTTTTTTTTTTT